CAATGATGCGAATATTCATTTGGTTACGTATGGTTGTAATACGAGTCGCTTGAAGACAGAATCTCTGCGTCATTAACGTACATCGATGCAAGCATGTGCGTGACTGGAAGAAAAAAATCTTTACATTGATATTCTTTGTTGGTGGCAATCATCAGTTGATGTTGCATGTTGTTTTTTTCACAGCTTAAAAAACAAAACGAAATCATTGGCTTCTTACTCATCTGAATGTCGTCAGTGGGTATTTTCCAACTGCGCTTTCTCTTAAAGTAAAGTTTTAAATCTTGTTCATACCACAAGAAGTTTCTATCTAGTATTAGTAAGGATACGTCAACACGCTGCAGTTGTGTATAATAAGACCGACCAATATCAATTAATCTCAATCATAAATATCAGATGGACGCATTTGCTTTTTAGTTCCCTATCATTCTAGTAAGTAATTAACGATTATATGATGTGTTGCCGATCTGTAAGGTTGATAGTAGCCTTTTACATGAACATAATAATCTTCAATCTGGAGTTGTAACTAGTTACGTTCCTATATAAAGACACTATTGTACGCTTGTCAGTTCGCGATGAACTGGTCAGCAGACCGGCATGAGAGATTTTTCATTTGTCTGTTTCTAGAAAAGTAAAAAAAAATTGTTTATTAGTCATTTCTATCTATGAATCACAATAGTAATTACGTATAATTTTTGTGTCATTATTACAGTGGTGTTGCGAAACATGACTAATAATGAATATTGAATTATATAGCCAGACAATTGAATTCATATTCCGTTTTCTCATGGTTCTGATCAGCATACAATAATTTTTTTAACCTATTAACCATCTATGATATAGATACCAATATGTTTGTCATAGACATTAATAGTCTAGTCACATCCCCTCTCTCTCGTTTGGAATCTATCCATGGACAGAAAATTGATTTGTACAAGTAATTCTCGATTAGTTTTGTCAACTATAGTAAGTATGTTTAGAATTTTAGATACGATTGAAATAAAAGTTTTTAATTCTATCATCCAAGACACGATCTATGTACACATAAAGATGACTTTCATTGTTAATATCATTTAAATGTATTTTGAAGAGTATTTCATAAACTATAGATGTATTTAAATTGTTATTCGACATACGTAGCAATTCTAAAATTGACTATATGCATTTGTTCCATAGCGTATATTTGTCGAGAATATAATTTTTATTTCTCGAACACAAAGACATTAGAAAATTGATGGGATTTCAATAGTGAATAAGTGTAAATAATTTTTGTTTCTGAATTTCTTTAAATTATTTTTTTAAACGAGCACATTATTGACATAGACGATTGCTAAAAATAAGAGTGCTTTGGACCATATCTATGATGTATAAATATAATATTCGAGCGTAGTTCAATGGTTATAAGCACCTATAAAGCTGAACGTCAGGTTCGTTGTCTATAAATACTGTAATCGATACGACATCTCATCTTATTTATGAAGGGTTTTTCATTATCATAACTTTATTTTTGAGAATTTTTTCAGAGAAATTTAGACATTTAAAACTTATCTTCATTCAAATGTTAATAGTGACTTATATGATACATCTTATGATGGATATTTACTTGATAGATATATATTAATGCACACTCTCTCATAGAGCTAGTTATTGACATGAGTAAAAAAAAAATTATTTGATATGCAGAACAAATCCTTCTCAAAACTATTTTCTGAAAAAGAAAACGCCTCGAAATTGGCAAAAATTCTATGGTTACTGGTGAAGAAAAATTTTGGCCGATCAGTTGATAAAGAATCCTCTACTAAATCAGATCAGTCATTTAGGGATATTGACTTCAAATTTGTATCACGCTGACTTCAGAAAAACTTCATCATATTTATATCTTGTTAATTCTATCTTTCAGGTTTATAACCAATCACAAAGTATACGGATGATTTTTCCTTACATCTGCTCTTAGACATTTCATTGAAAACCGTTTCAGTGCATATTTTTCTCGACATTATATCGATTAATTTTAGTTTTCATTGAATAAAGGT